CCCCAAAACCCCAAAACCCCAAAACCCCTTAAGACAAGATAGGGATGATAAATAAAGATTTAATAATGAATTAAGACAGGAAATAAGAAAAAGTAGAATAATTATTGATTAGATAATATTTATTATATTAACATTGAGTTAACAAATTCGTGAGTGCAGACCTCAAAGACATCACTAAATATACCTAGTGATATTCCATTCTCTAATACCTTCTTGATTTTTCCTTAGCTACTCCGCTAAGCTCTAGCTTGATGACGCTCTTCAAGTCATCATCAGGATCTTGGCTGATTAACCTTGCCCAAGATTTAATCCAAATCGACTCTCTTCCACACCATGACTGTTTCTTTTGGAGTGAGATTACTTCAATGTCTTTACAGTTATGGAGTGCTATCTCCCTATTCTGAACTTTAGAGACGCTAAACTCTTTTTTAATAGACCTTCTTCTAACCCTTAAATGCACTCTCCTTTCTATTAATGTGAGAACTGGTAATGCTGAGATCTGTGAATGAGTCTCTGAAGAAACTAGATTTATTCGACTTATTAGTATCGTGGAGATTGTTAGACTATCTTTTAGGGGCAAGATCCAAATAATTCTTGAAAATGACTGAGCCGCTGTCTACATGACCACGATCAAATAGGCTATTCCTATCTAACGATTTATTTCTAACTTACTAAGTCATGTTCAATGCTTATTCATCTTCTTTTTAATCTTAAATTCCACCTAAAGATAGGTTTCCATCATGATCGTCAACAACCATTGATTGGGATAAAAGTCTATTTCTTTCACCAGATTACTTAAATTGTTGCTGATTTTTTTGCAGATCAATTTTAGAGATCCTGCTGCATCTATTAGACGCTTTGCCATTCTTTCGGGAAGGCTCTGAGATACTGTTTTTATTTGAATTCTTGAGACAGCATACTTCTAAACTATTTCCCATAATTTTAAATATTAATAATAGATGAGTCTGGAACAATAAGATAAATTTATATCAATTCTACTCAATCCTTCTAAAATCTCTCAAAGACGGGGTTTTGGGGTTTTGGGG